CACTTATGGTGGCCATCCATACATGAAGATGTAGCGCAATTTTGCAAGAATTGTAGCACGTGCTGCCGTTTTAAACCGCGTCAGCAGACACCCTGTGCACCAATGACGCCGATGGTGACAACAGGACCACACCAGCGAGTTGGCATAAATATCATGGGACCATTGACAACGACAAAAAAAGGGAATCGCTACATACTGGTTATGGCGGATTATTTCACTAAATGTTGCGAAGCAGTACCCATTCCGCAGCAATACGACCTTACTGTCGCCCGAGCTTTTATCGGTCATGGGGTCTTCCTTTATTGTGCCCCAGTCTCACTTCATTCCGACCAAGGTCCGGCTTTTGAAAGTCCTCTCATCGCTGAGATATTCCAGCTATTAGGAATCAGGAAGACACACACACCCAGGAGGTAACAGCCTCGTGGAAAGAACAAACAGAACTGTTATATCCGAGTGGAGATTAAATTACAGGTAACTTCCGAGGACTATTCATGGACTAATATTCTATAAATATTCTTATTGTATAACTATTCAACAATTACATTATGTATATTTATACCCCTCTTATGACAAGCTTTATTTTGGCCTATAATTTATTATTGTACGAGTTACGGTTCTTAAGTTATGTTCAGTTTATTAACTACTGCCTCCCACATTCACAGCCACTTTTTGGGCTTATTTGTGTACAAATATTATTTCCTGTTTTATGGTACGTTTCGGTCTGTGTGATTGATATATAAACCAAGTATGCCTGAAATAAACGATCTGCTCTGATTCGGAAGCTGGTATTTTGTTCTGGACTCAAGTGGAAGGGCTCGTAGGACATAGGACCAATAAGGACGCTAAACTGCCCACACCGGTTGAACGTCATTGGTTGGCCTAGTGTGAAGATTCGTATAAGTCGTATTCGGATTGGTAGATAAATCGCGTGATAGAAAAACCAGACATTCAAGGTCATAACAATTGGCGACGGGGATTTTAGCAAAAACAAAATAATTGGGAGACGCAAGGTCATAACAAGAACTATTAAAGCCATCTTACGGTCGTTCGTCGGCAAATCGTCACCTGAGTTATGGGATGATGTGCTCCCTCAATGCCTTTTAGCATATCACACGTCGGTACACGGGAACACGGGATTCGCACCTGCTATTTCATTGTTCGGGCACGAATTACGCTTACTGGTAGCAATACGGTCGCCCCTGCTGCTCTGCAAAGAACAAGAGCATGTACTGTACATACGTACCCTCCGCAACCGCCTGGCTGATGGATACCGCCTGTAAAACATTAACTTACGCAAGGCTATAGGACACCGAAAAGACATGTACGACCGTCAGGTGCAAGGGCCGATGTATAGAGTTTGAGATCGCGTCTGGCTACGCAGCCCAATGACATCGTTAGGGAGTTGCAGTAAATTCCACCAGCCCTGGCAAGGTCCTTTCGAAATTGTCTTCATCCGTTCCCTCTCTACGTTTGTATTGCGCAACATACAACGGCCTAAAGACGACGTGATAACGGTACACTACAACCAAATAAAACCGGACCGGATGATAGTCCCCTTCGACACTCAGTTCGCCGAACCACCAGATTTTATGAAGCACCATCAGAAGGAGGAACAGCAAACCTTTGCCCAAGACCAGGAACTGAGGACAGTGCCTCGTTAGGAGAGGGGGCGATGTAACGAGATTAAAATCATCACGTACGGTATTGTTGATAGATTCTGTTTTTCTTTTTATTGCGGGGCAACCAAGAGCAAGTGCATTAGAAGAAGAAGGAGAGCAAACTCTGCATGCACTGAACCTACAAGATGACTCATAAGACTGTGAGGATACCACAGGTATTCGGAGTTTGACAACGTCTTAACCAGTAACACCTAATATGAATCGTACCCACCAAATGAAACCAAAAGACAGAAACGAGGAGGTTCGAAGATATATTTGATAGGCTATCAATATATCGAGGATCGTCTGATCTAATGTGGCTAGCGATTGCAGGGGGTTGTTGAGCACGCCGTTCCCACTCGTGATCTGGTGCGAATGCATGACCGAGCGCCTTCAGCTAGATGAGTCCATTAATACTAATGTGATCAGCATCCAATGTCGAAGATTTACAGAGCTTTTTAGTTTGGGGATTTATTTGCCGCTACAACTGTTTTGTAAACTAGCTCTTCCTTCTGTACATAACCCGCGAATTTTAATTTCCAAAATAAACGACCGGTAGTTTCCATTCCGTGTTTTCTCTCTACTGTGAAGTTCTCGGTTAACATTGTGTGTGTTGTGGTTTTAGATCTTCCCGCCTTTCAATGACTGATGATTACACGTGTTACATATTACAAAAAACCACGAAAGATAGGAACAGATAAGTACGTACATATGTCCGGGGAAATAATGCGGATTTTCCTCTTTATGTCGCCGTGTTTCAAACGTCGCTGAATTGTCTACTTTTCGTCTTAATACACACCAAATTGCGCTTAACTATACGCCTATATGCGAGAAAGCTGACATGTTAGCGCGTTTCCCCATTATTCGTCTTTATTTACCCCTTATCGGTTGATTGGGATGTTTCATTGGCCATTAAAGAACCACTTTTTTTACTCGTTCCACAATCACATCAAGGACAGTATGCAAGTGTTTTTAACCCAGCTCTTAATATTTGCAACATATCAGTCATGGTAATCCGAATTTTGGAGACATATGGGCCACTACCCAACTAGTTGATTAGTCTGTTAGTATAGTATTGTTCCACTCCTAATTCTTAGATACGGAGTGATATTCTATCCCATTGTATAATACGATTAAGTGACGGGATTGTCCCACCGTTCGTAAACAAGACCTTGTGAAAAACTCTACTGGAGTCCCATGGGACAAATACATGTCAGTAATAAAGACAGGCCGATCGACTTACGTTAATCCTTGCAATCTTAAGTACTGCCGAGATCCAGTATCGCTTTGAATGTATTGACAAAAAGTACTGGTATTACGCGTTCTAGTAAGAAATTCCAGTAACTTACTGCTCGGTGCAAGAGACGGGACTGTAGACGTAAGCGATTTGGTCTCGGTTTTCGAACCTCAGAATGTTCTCTCAGATGATCGGTCGTAGATTAAAGTAAAAGATAAGAGGTCAATACCAAAATCATCGTTCAGTGTATGGTAAGCCAGTATTAGATCACCTCGTAATCTGCGGTAAGATAACGGAAAATGCTGAGGCATCTCAGACCGTCTTCATAAGATGGGCTAAAGAGGCTTCTTACTATTTCTATTTACCGTTGAACTCGTCCTAGCATATTCATCTCATACTTGGAATAAGGACTGCTTGGATCCCATATTTCAAATGCGGGCTCACAAGATTCGGGTATAATACCCTAGACGTTTTTTCGTCCAAGAGATAAAATGAATTACTAGTAGCTCATAATACCCTGAAGTCTTTGGCAGCAGAAATATTGTAGTTACTCGTAGTTTTAAGGTTTTAGTTCATTGAGTCCTAGGTCTTTATAATCCATAACACAACTCCACGTATCATGTAGTAATATGAGTCGTTGCAGTTATTTATTTGCATCACCACACTCTAGTTACAATTAACTTTTCATGTCTGCCTACTCATTCGTTCAACCAGTGGATTTCGGTCATCCTGTAATATTATTCTATCTGGCATACTGTGTATGGGTTTCCAAATCTTAATGTCATCTGCAGAGCAAAACAGACAAGTTTGCTGCAGTTGGTAAATCATTTATATACAGTAAAGAAAGGAGAGTATGGAGGATTTTACCATCAGGAAGTCCACTTTTTACAGATTCCCACGTTAATAGAATCTTATTTACTGATGCATTTCCTTAACACTACATCCGGTCTACCTTACAAAAATAAATGAGTCAAGTGATTTCTACACAACCGATCCTGAGCATATAGGTAGTGTAATCTCGGTAAATAATGTTGTGTTGATTGACTTTCACTTGTGGATGTGATTATCATCCCGAAGACCACTTTTGGATCATATGACTAGGTTTAATCTTTTGGACAGATTAGAACCTTCATTTATCATTTTTCGCTGCACACTTGGCTCGTCATAATTTTTCTTGTGTCATAAGCTGGTCTAACAGTTCAAACATTTGAACACTGGTAAATTCTTGATTAAAACCTAAAAATATGGGCTTTCCCTTTTATGTTATTTAATATAGTTTGTTTTGGGGAAAAATAAGTGGATTAGATTATAGGTGATAACTAGATAGTTTCGTGGTAGTACGGAGCTATAACGAACGGTTTTTAACCTTATGGCAAGCGCGCTGGTGAGTTGCTGATGTATAAGCTAGCTTGTTAAAAATAGAGCAGTGGCTTAGTGACCAAAGCGTTTAACTTTAAACTCGTAGATCACAGGTTTGACTTAATCTAATTCTGTATGTGCAACCCAGTGGTATCATTAGCCGTTGCATAGTAAACATGGTCCGAAACATGAATTTGTACATTGCTAGATATAATGGTTACCTACCTTATATTTTAGTCCAGTAACTGCTCCCATTGCTAGAAGAGAGAGAACCTAGTGTGATTTATGAAAGCCTCGTGCGGATAGTTAAAATTTGTCAAAAGTCGCTTATTATGTTGGAGCTATCAAGTGAGTAATGATGATATTACTTGTGGAGTTGAGGTTTTAAACTGTTTACGGAAGCGGGTGGGGAATATTTTGCCACTTTGCTTGAAATACGATGGCAGCTTTTATAAGAGTAGGTTGGAAAAAACCAGAGCCGAACCAGTACATAACATCGGCCCACAGAGCTGCTTGCCCTTAGTTTTCACAGCAAATATAATCCACTTTATAAGTGACCTCTAAAGCACCTGCTCGTTGTCGTAAATGTGAGGTTATGTGGCTAAAGATTGTTTTCAGTGCTGCAAGTGGACTCGTTCTTTATGTTTTCACAATTGTTAAGCAACTTGTTACTACATACTCTACCAGCTATCTTCACGTTTCTGTTTTCGTTTCTTTTTTCCTAATGTTATCATTATTATATTCCAGATTATTATAAATGGCTTCCGAAGATTGTGACGATATATTTGGACGCCGATATCTTACAGATGCTTCTGATGTTTATGAGTGGAATGCTTGGTAAAAATTAGGATGAAAAAACCCAACTTTTTCTCTAGGGATGACGTTCAGTGGACAGAAGAGCAGGAAAATTTAGCAAAAGAAATAATACTTTTGAATAGTACTGTTAGACTCCCAGATGATTCTCAAGGTTTTTTCAAGCTATTGCTTATTTTTAATGTTTAGAAAGAATTGAGATCCTTGCACATGAATACTGGGACAAGTTTTATTCCCATCATGAAGATAGATTTTTCAAGGACAGAAATTGGTTAGAAAAAGAGTTCTGTGAATTATTTTCTTCAACATGTGAGTTATTGCCCTTTTTAATTTTTTAGCACCTAGTGTGCACATAATGGAGGTCGGTTGTGGTGTGGGAAATACAATATTTCCAATATTACGCGCTGTAAAGTATACGATATTAAAACATCTATAGTCAGTTTAGGAGTCCTGGACTGTTGATATATGCATCAGATTTCTCTGAAAAGGCTCTATCTATACTCAAAGTAAGTTCATGTTTGATGTAGCTATTATCACTAAGGAATCCAAAGGATATGACGCTGATCGTTGTATTACTTTCCAGCATGATATAACCAAAACTAATGATGAAATCCCTTGTCCTAGAAATAGTTTGGATTTTCTAGTCTTAGTGTTCGTATTATCAGCAGTTAATCCTGAATTGTAAATATTTCTACCTTAATCGCAAATAATTTTTAGGTTTCACCGTACACTTAAAAATCTTGTTACGTATTTAAAACCCGGAGGTGTGCTATTGTTTCGAGATTATGGAAGGTTTGATTTAGCTCAGCTAAGATTTAAAAATGGCCAGTGTTTAAAAGACAACTTTTATATGAGATCAGATGGGACAAGAGTTTACTTTTTCACTCAAGGTTAGTTTGGGAAATCCCAACAGATTATGTTTTGATTTTCATGTAGATGAATTACACAAATTATTTACGGACGTTGGTCTAGAAAAGATTCAGAACAAGGTTGATCGCAGATTAATCGTAAATCGCAAAAAGAAGTTAAAGATGTACAGAATTTGGATTCAATGTAAATATAACAAGGTATAATGTGTCCTCTGTAATATTTTTCTATTGTTATTTCCTATTTTGGGTGGTAATAGTTCTGATAAAACTCTTGATGTGTTAGGCATTCCGTATATCACTCTGTCTGCATTTTATTCACTTATTTTACCAATCTAAAACTCGTCCGTTCACTAAATCACCAAGTCCACATCCAGAACAGTGAATACTGGGATTTGATTGTTAGGATTTACAAACTGTTCGTTTACCGAATCCTCTACTATAACAATGAAAATAGGGATAAAAGTCGTTTTTTAAGATGTCCATTACTTTAAATGAATGCAAGTCGTTATTAATTCACATAATGCAATTAAAAAATGGACTTATCATAATACTTGTAAATTAATCGAAATCTGGGCATTCACAAAGTGTTAATTCAAAGTCAAATGCCATTCAGAAAGGATGGATCATGGATGAAAGCGTCACTCCATCCAGTGGTGCAGTGGTTTCAAGTTATGCTACGATAAAGACTGTAGATAGTTGTGAATTTTCTGGCAGTTCGAAATCAGTTATGGTGTAAAGTACGAATACGCCATTTCCAGAAGGAATTCATACTTACCTATTTAAAAGGTACAGAGGTTGCCTATGAAATATGTACACTTATTCTTCAGTCTTCCATTTGGATCTATTGTGCTGTAGACTGTCTTCTATAGTTTCCCTTCTGGCTTCAAGTAATCCGAACTCGCCGTGCTTTTGGCTTCCTTGTACTCCTGTCTTCGGCCGTCGACTTCAGCAACTCCCATTCGACGCTCCGCTGCATACTACTTTAAAGCAATTTTTTGGATAGTGTCTATCACAACGCCATTGAAGTCATAATTTCTTGAAAATTCTTCAACTTCAAGCTCAAAAACTTCAATACTGTTGTCACAATATTAACCAAGTCTACAAGATATGCACCGTATTATTACGCACAAGCCGTACATTAAACAATTACACAAGAGTCATAGATGTCCCCAGTCACAGGATAAACAATTTGAGTGTTCACACTGTTACAGATCGAATGATGTGATCAACGATCTCATCTTAAACAGGAAGGAGGTGAAATTAAAAATTTATCCCGCCTCGATAATCAGGCAATAAAAGAGAGTTGTCTTGAACTTCATATCAATTATAAGGTTTCTGTTTGTATACGGAACAGAAACATGATCTTCATTAAAGTTGAATAGTTCATAAAACAATGCAAAAGAATCACCGTTTTCCCAGTACCATGACAAAAGGTCACATGACGTTCTGTTTTGGAGGTCATATTGTGGGAATGAATTAAGCTTAACGCAGTTTTTAATTCAGTAAAGAGTGTATGACCCACAAAACTGATTTTCCCCGATCCCTTAGATCATCCAATGACGTTTACTTTTTATCAATAATTTGCATATAAACATGTTCTAAAAAGCTATTTCCTTGGCTAATAGTCTTGTTTTTGATATCAGCTCATTTATAGTTCTTTTTTAAATTTAATTTTCCATTCTCGTGAGTAGTTATCACTCTGCTACATCGTATCACCACATTGTATCTACTGCTCTGCATTTTATTTAAAATCCAAAACCTGCTTCAGTCGAACCAATAATCTTTATTTCAATAAAATTAATACATGTTATCTCAAAGGTTAAGGTTTAGTAAAGTCCGTCGCGTGATCTAAATTCCGATCAAATCATGCTATTAGTAATGACACTTAGTGTTTTTCAACACAACCTTACTGTGAGACTGAAAAATATTGTACATACGATTGTACCACAAACGAGCTAATCTCTTTCAGTATATGCTAACTGCTGTGCTTCTGTTCACTGCACTACGACTGCATTTGTGTGAGGAACTCTATGCGTTCGAATTGTAAAGCGATGGGTTGTGATTTTCAACAAGAGTGCTCAATGTCTGGACTGAAGATACTTGCGTCAGTTCGAAGATCGAAATGCCATAATTAGACATTACCCTTGTAGTTGGTCAAAATCGAGTACACGATTATTAACTTTAGTGGTATATGGGTCGGATTTAATCTTGTAATTGCTTTTTTCGTTCTGTCAGCTTAAGTATTCCAGCTTTAGCCATCACGTGATTCCACATGACTGCACATGGTTGTATATGAAGACTTTGAAAAAGCCGAAAGATAGGGAGAACAAAACAGTATTCGAGTTAAATAAAAATGAATTGTGTCAGGATCTTCAACCTTCTAGCCATTTAGATAGCTGTTTCCTATCATGATTATATTTTTAAATTGATGTTCGATTCTGTCAATCTACGGTTTGAGTTATATCGATTCTTACTGTAGCAGTCATCAATCAGATGGATTCTTTTGTTATAAGATAACCGATCTAATAACGTTTAACAAATTACAGAGACTTTTCCAATCAAGGAGACACATAGGTTCAAATAATGATAATAAATGCACTTTATCAATTAGGATACAAGAGTTTGGTGAATAGATTCAGAGGAGCAATCTGCCAGAGGCATGATTATAAGAATTATTCTGATTGTTAATTTTAATCAATAAAAACTACAGATGTTCTGAAACTAAATAAACAAAGTCTCACTTATTGTTTCCTTTGTTAAAAATTCACCTCCCAATTATATTGAGAATGCATGTCATATCATTTGTATCATATTACAGTAGACTGTCAGTACGATATTCTTTGCTTCTTTTGGATATTCGTTTCTTTTTCTGTGAATTTTCAAAACAATCCATTTAAATCGAAGTAATTCGTTTAACGTTTGCTTACTATTTTTTATATGTACCTTATCCACAGAGTGCAACACTCAATTTCTAGTTAAGTACGACTAAATTATAAGCTTTTAAATAGACTGACAGCTTTTTTACTCAATGCATTTTGTTGCAAATACTGAAATTATTTGATTTGAGATGTAAATAAGCGAATTAAAGTTTGAATGAATTATGAAGTTTACTAAGCCGTGTCATAACACTAATAAACTTGAGTTAGTGAGATACATGGCAGTGTATTGTTATTTGAATGTGGATAAAAATAAAACTCATGCCAAATCATAAAAATAGCTTTCAACTTAATGATAGATTCTTCTGTTTGGAAGTCCAGGTATGCAGCCGATTCGGTGTTCACGGAAAGTTCATGTAAGGGAGTTTAAAACCCCAATTCAAACTGAAGTATCTGATGAAGCAAATAACAAACAGGGCTGTTTCGACTATCGACTACCATGTGAATGCATCTGACGTTTCTTCACTGCCTTTTGTACTAGACTTGTTTGCCAAAGGTTCCAGAAGTGTTCGTATAAGAAAACTATTTGCCATAGTTTGAGCCCCCAAGAAGTATCCAGATCTATATACAAATATGATGGCGATTATTGATGAAGAATGACCTGTTTGGTTTGCAAAATACAAGATTTATAATTTTAAAATGAAGTGTTTGTTAAGCTTCAATAAACTTTGCTTGGAAACATCTTTGGATAGAAATTTGTCCAAAAATTCAATTTTAATCTATATTTGAATACACTGAACTAGCTTTCAATCCTAATGGATGAACCAATGAAAAGGTGGTTATATTGTCAGTTGGTAAGCGAAATGAGGTCCCTTACTGAATGATGTTTAGATTGAATTACTCGATGTATCCAATTATTACATATGATTATGTGAGATGAAATGATTTCTCTATGATGGAATATACTGAATTTCAGTACAAGATTATTTACATACAAATCAATTTTTTTATTGACAAATGCACAATTGAACTCAATGTAGTAGTTAAAAATTCGAATGACCGAGTACGGTAAAACAGTGCGAAATTCTAGTTTGTTCAATATGGCTTTGTCCTGTATAATTTCATTTAATGACAGAATTTCCTGTCAAACACGTCGAATTTTCTCAAACTGTGAAGCTTAGGCGTAGTTGTTATTGTCTCTCGGATCTGTTCCCGGCATTCGTAATTTAGGTTATATTTACAAAGATAAGATTTATAGATAATCTTGAAATTCCACACAATGATACCTTTAGCCATCTGGTAAAGATAACAATTCTTGAATGATAACTTGCAATGCTTTGCGTTATTTCAGGGAATGTTCTGGTTAAAGTCTAGGTCTTTAAAGCAACGAAGTTGATTTGGATGTGGTAGAAGTGACAAGAAAATTTCTCCATATATCTTATCAAAACCATTCTGTCTTTGATGTAATCTCCTCAAAAATGGAGTATGTGCGCATTAATTTAGCTGGGATCAATAGTATCCCTTATGTTTTATCTACACTCTACAATTGGGTAATGGGAGGAATATTAGGCTGATTGAGGATAATTATGAGTGGATCAAAAACATAAGTAAAGTCATGTTCCCTCATTGGCTTCAAGATGTATTTTTTAATTCTACTACAGTATCTAGTTTCCAAGTCATCACCTTCTGGTGACACTACTATTATTGCATTAGGATATTTAATTTGATTAACGAGGTAGATTGAGAACCTGAGTCCAGCAAGTTAGATTGACCAAGTAAAACAATGAAATTCACTCGTCTAAAAATTAATCCCAGTCGGTAACTACTGAGAAAAATGTCATAGTAGTTTATACCATGTAGGTTTTAAATGGCATATTGTAACTATATTTGTAAAACGTAATTATCATTGTGCAATATGATAAATCTAGCCCTAAATGACTTGCATTCCATGCCCATTTCGGGAACGTGGAAAGAAAAGAACTTGGATGACCACTTTGGTTAATTAGTTTGCACATGTTTAAAGAGTACTTATTCGATAATTAGTCTTTGGTGATTGCATGTCCATAACTAACCAATCAAATCGCTGCGCAAACGCCCACCACGTCAATTTGGTCTGTTGTGTCTGTAGACTCCCTGTTGCATGTGATCTACCAATTGAAGGACATTATCCTATTATATTAGTGTGACTCATAATTTTTATTTATTTTTACAAGACAATGCTGGTCGTTATGTTTGTGCGTTCCACTTGATGACAGTAATTCACTTGATTATTGTACGAATCAAATTGTTTTTACGTTTGGAAACAGATAAAGTTCAGAGCCAAGTTGTCCTTGTTCTGACTAGCTTTCATATAGACTCTGGGGTCGCCAGTATCGCGTTTACAGTTCTGGTAGAATATCTGTAGGACAAAGTAAATCCTACAGTTGTCATTACTAGAAGTTTTCTGTTGAGTGATTGTAAAGTAGGATGAATTGATACATGTCGGAAACAATTACATTTGTCCGGATTTACACTAAGAATTACTTGTTAGTGAAAGTAAATGGTTTTCAGGAACGCTTTTTTGCTTAGATGACATACTTAAGCGGTATTGTTGCGGTGTGTGCTACTTATATTTGGATATAAGTAGGATGTAACACCAGTCGGAAGTGGAATATGAGAAGAAGGGAGAAGGAAAGTGAAAGCAACCGAAATAACAACAGGAATGAAGGGATGATGAAGCTTGTAACAGACAATTAAAAGAAGATGCATGTGTGACTTACATATTTAAATTAACCATCTTGTGATCGTGCACTAAACAATCAATTGGACTTCTCCATCTGAGTTCTAGTTCACTACATTCCTAATGGGGAGTGACACATCTTTCTCAACATCGATAAATGTCTCTAGTCTTAAGAGCTCCTTGACTGGACCTCCTGATCACTCCCCGAATACATTACCTAACCATTCAACTTGACCTTTCACTGTTAAACAAACTTTCATCAAACTGACCTACTACCTTTCCCGCATTAACCCTATCGGTAATAAACTAAACGCTCATCAATATGGAGTCAACACTCCCACTTCTCATGGCAAAACAGACAATCCACTGGGTTTACATCATACCCTTCTACTAGACAAACACTAACTGTACCTGACACTTATGTCAATCAACACTCGATCTGTACGAAGTGAGGTGACTCATCTACGCAGCCCATTGATTTCAAACAACCCCTCACTTGTGGTAACGGAAAGTTACTGACCTCAGATACCGCAGACTCATACCTCCAAGTGGACCCCTATGAGCACTTCCGCTGTGATCGAGTCACAAGGAAGAGTGGTGGTTGTCTTGTCTATGTGTCGAAAAAGCTTGAAAGTGGAAATCTATAACGACCACCTCCTCAGCAAACTTCCTGGTTCGATATGCATATGGTTTACTGTGCACACTCATGAATGTAAAATACTAATCGGATGCATATATCGAGCTCCTAACACTCCTAGTTCAGCTGACACTATTACAAGTGAGCCATTCGCTCAGGCTGCCTCGCTTGATTTATGGTGGACCAGACAAATATGAACGTGAGAAAATGTTAACCAAGTTAGAAAGAGTAAATAATAATGTTAACAGTTACAAATACAACAGAAAAATTGGGACTTTACTTAAGTTCACCAAGTTGCTGCGTGTTCAGATTGGGTCTGGTACTGAAAATCCACAATTATATATGTTCGGTAATTCCGCTCAGGTTGTTGGACTCTCCAATAATGTAAACCGATGTTAGGTGTGATATATTCCGACTCAGTCTATAAATGCAGACAATGTTTGATTTAGAATCTAGTTAGCTCAATCACAAGCGAAAGTAGAACAAGGTATGTGTGCATAGCAATGTATTTGTGAGTGAGCAACAGTATATCACGCTATGTCCATAACACAACAGAAAGTGTGTTCAAGGTCAGTCACTTAAACAACAGGTACAGTCATTTAATGATAAATATACATACAGTGGAAGATTGACAAAATAAGTACAAACAATGTTAAAAACTAATTACAAAATAAGCTTGTTAGTCGTATCTCCACAGATTTCACTTACAAAATTTTATGTGGTGATTTCAGCCTTCCCACCATTAACTCAACGACACATTCTGACCCGTTGTGCTTTGAAAGCATACTTATGTCCTTAGGCATACTCGGCTGGCAACAACATGAACACTTGTCTACACGAAATCGCAACATTCTTGACTTGGAATTCTGTCATAATGTTACACCAACATAAATGGTGGTTGGCGAAAAGTTTCACAACAGCGATTATAAAATAGTCCTCTGTACCCTTTCGATTCTTGCCATGTGCAACAAATTAAAAACGTTTATTACGCGTTTCTAGTATAGAGACTGTGCAAACGCTAACTGAAAAAAAACTTTCGATTTCTAACGATGAGTTAGTCATTATAGGATGAATGGCATTCCTGTTTATGACTGATGTTGTTTAGTAGTGGATGTATTGTTGTGCTTGTCTACCTCTTTCTGTCTCCAACAGTTCGTTCACGTAGTAAGTCATCATCTAC